AAGTTTTACCCAAAAAGTCAAAAATCGCCCCCGGGCCCGTGGTCAAAACCCGAGGTTCGAACCAAAACCAGATTACCCATTCCCCCACGAACTCAAATATATAATTTGTTTTGAAATCGGACCTCAAATTGAGGTCCAAATCCCCAATTTTTGAAAAACCTAGGTTCTACCCAAAACACCCAATTTTTCCCATGAAAATCTTTGATTTTAGGTTGAAATCATGTAAAAGATGTTAATGATTGAAAGAAATGAGTAAAAACTAACTTACAATTGATTTGGAGGAAGACTTGTGCTTGAAAAATCGCCTAAGTGTGTTTGGGTTTGAGAAAATATGAAAAATGGGGTTCAAAATCGTTTAAGTGTAAAATTGCAGGTCTCTGATATGGGAAATGCGAACAGGGGTTATCAATTGCAAACCCCGACCTCTGCAGATGTGGGAAATGCGAAACAGGGTTCACATTTGCGAACCCTTTGAAATTTCTGGACCTTCACATTAGCGAAACAAAAGTCGCATTTGCGACTGGGGAATTGCGAACACAGGGTCGCATTTGCGACCCCAGGCTGACTAGAGGACCTTCGCATTTGCGAACCAATTGGTCGCATTTGCGATCAGGCCTGCCCAGGTCTAGTATTCGCATTTGCGAACCAATTGGTCGCATTTGCGATCAGGCCTGCCCAGGTCTAGTATTCGCATTTGCGATGGAAGTATCGCATTTGCGAGCTCGCATTTGCGAATTTGCGAAGCCTGCAGACCTGAATCACACCAGCAAATTTTTAAGTTCAAAAATGCAACCCATGGCCTAACCAAAACTCACCCGAGCCCTCGGGGCTCCAAACCAAATATACACACAACCTCAAAAATATCCTACGGACTTATTCGTGCGATCAAATCACCAAAATAACATTATAAACATCGAATTAAACCTCAAAATCCATGAATTCTTTCAAACTTCATAAAACATCAAACTTTCCAATTTAGGTCCGAATCACGTCAAACGACGTCCGTTTTTCACCAAATTTCACAGAAACATCTTAAATCATATATATGACATATACCGGGTGCCGGAACCAAAATACGGGCCCGATACCATCGCTTTCTAATCAGATTTCATTTCCAATTTTCTTAGACATTTCTAGAAAACAATTTTACAAAAAAATTCATTTCTCGGGCTTGGAACCTCGGAATTCGATTCCGGGCATACGCCCAAGTCCCATATTTTCCTACAGACCCTCCGGGACCGTCAAATCACGGGTCCGGGTCCATTTGCCCAAAATGTTGACCAAAGTGAAATTTATTCATTTTAACATCAAAACGTAGCATTTTTCACAGAATTTCATATTTAAGCTTTTCGGATACGCGCCCGGACTGTGCACGCAAATCAAGGTAACTCTAAATGAGGTTTTCAAGGCCTCGGGGACACAGAATTCAATTAAGAACAGGTGATGACCCTTTGGGTCGTCACAACGTTCTTTGACGTTTACTACGTATTGGATCCTCCTGGTTAAGTGTACTTTCTTTTGTTTCTTCCCGAGGTCGTTTAGATCCTTCACCAATCGACTCACATTCCTTTTTATATGGATATATATTTTCAAAGAACTCAGCATTATCTGATTCTATAACCGTATTATTATGAATGTCGGGATTTTCTGATTTTATGAACCAAAAATCGATATGCTTTACTATTAGTCGCATATCCTATGAAAACACAATCAACAGTTTTCGGTCCTATCTTTACCCTTTCGGGCTTAGGAACTTACACTTTTGACAAACACCCCCACACTTTAAAATAATTCAAGTTGGGCTTCCTTCCTTTCCATTTTTCATATGGAATGGATTGTGTTTTGCTATGGGGTACTCGATTTAGTATTCGACTAGCCGTAAGAACGGCTTCCCTCCACAAGTTCTGTGGCAAACCAGAACTTATCAATAAAGTGTTCATTTCCTTTAATGAACGATTCTTTCTTTCTGCAATCCCATTGGATTGGGGCGTGTAAGGGGCCGTTGTTTGATGAATAATTCCATATTCTAAACATATTTGTTCAAAAGGAGATTCATATTCACCACCCCTATCACTTCTTATCATTTTGATTTTCTTGTTAAGTTGCGTTTCAACTTCATTTTTGTATTGCTTGAATGCGTCTATTGCTTCNAGAGCTTATATTTAGCGATGAATTTTATTCTGAAAATAAATTTGTTGTTATTGAGCCAGCTATTACTATAATTTTTTATAATTGAAGTAAAAATATTTTAGTTACAATATTTAATTTCAAGTAATTTTTGTGGCTAAAAAAGTTAGTATTGCTACAATATCTTCAAACACGTGGCAAAAACTTTCTATTAGCTACAAAATTGAATTGTATGAATAAGTTTATAGCTGTTAAGCCACTTATTGCTATGGATTTTTATAGCTTGAAGCAAAGAGATCTATTTAGCTATAACATTTTATTTCAAGTAATTCTTTGTGGATATAAGGTTGTTATTGCTATAATAACTTTAAACGCGTGGCAAAAAATATACCATTAGCTACGAAGTTTTGTTGTAGCAATAAATTTGTAGCTATTCAGATCATTATTGCCACCGTAATTAGCAACTATAGAAGAAATAAAGAATTAGGTTTGCCAATTTAATTTTGTAGCTAATAAATTTTACGAAATTATAAATAGTTGTGAAATTTTAATTTTTGTGGTTATTGATAGGTATTAGCTACGATTTTCATATTTGTAACTGAAAATTGATAGCTATAAATACATAGAATTGTAGTGTTGCCATAATCTATGGTCAGACGAGGGCTAAGTATCTCGAGTCAGACAAACTTGTCAAAACTTGATCACTTGAGGAATCTTCAAGTCTAGAAGGTGAACTGAACGTCACTTCCAAGTCCACACATTCCACACAATAGTTATCTAATCTTGCGTCGTTTACAACGTTTGTTTGTTTTTTTTGAATTAAGGACTCCCATTCTATTTTTATTCTTTTTCTTTTTCTCTCTCTCCCTTTTAGTTAACATGACGGCGTTACAAAAAAATAGTTCACTGGACCTGCTAGAACTTATAGACAGCATTGACAAACTTGGACTCAGTTGTTACTTCGAAGTTGAAACCAAGGAAGCTTTTGAAAAGATAATAATGTCCGTCAAAACTAATTCCAGCTCGACGGAGGATCTGTACATAATATTGCATTGTGGAAAAAGATCAATTACCATTTCAATACTCTTTCTACATCACATCGAAAACTTCTCAAGCATGTAATAAATGAAGCACGGATGGCACATGTCATGTACCAATTTGGAGATGGATTTGGGGTTCAAGATGGTGAAACTCGAGATCAAGTCCTCTTCAACTTGGTTCATCCTATTACATTATAATTTCTATAATAATCTCGGCCTATTCACTTTCGTCCTATTCATATTCATGATAATTAGACATACTTGTGATTTGTCAAGAGAAGAATTACGAATAAAAATCAATTAACATTTAGTTGAAGAACAATAGAGGAAAAATTGAGAAGGGTAAAAATTGAGAAGAGTTAACTTATATAGCCGTCCATCCAACCATTTAAATTAAAAATATTCGACGAATATATATATATATATATACACACACAATCAGTGAGTAATCTATATTTACCCGCTAAGTAAAATAAACTGTGAATTCAACTGGCTATTTATGTAAAGGTTAGTCCAACAAAACCTTTTTATGTTGGCCAATACAATAACAACAACAACAACATACCCAGTATAATCCCACATAATGGAGTCTTGGGAGGATAATATATACGCAAACCTTATCCCTACCTTGTAGTGATAGAGAGACGGTTTCCAATAGACCCTTGGATTCGGATAAATAACTTGTTAGTAGACTAGTATTTGTAAAATAATTACTGAAAATATAAATGAAACATAAAACAGAAAACCAATTCGAGCCCACTGAATTCACAGTGTTTCCTTAAGGAATTTAATCCCCTCCTAGTACCCAAGGTTATGGATTATTTCCTCCCAGGATAGAACGAATTACACACTGGTGTAGTGGTACTTCAAACCCTAGTGTTTCAGCGAACACAAAGTTCGGTAGCAAATCACACTTACTATTGCTTTTTTTGATGCTAAAAGTATGCAGAAGAAGGAGGAGAAACTCATAAAATCGTAGTGAAATTCTGGGCAGAATAGTGTTGTATTTATAGCCAAAGTTGGGCTGAAATCTGAAGAGGTGCAACTCTTCAGAATGGCTGTTTATGCAAAATGGCCACAGCATAAATGCCATTACATAAATGGCCATTTACTCAACAATAAAGAGGGAAAATAAAGAGGGAAAATTGAAGGGTAGTTAATTTTCTGTTACAAAAATAGAAAACTAAAATTTGGATAACTGAATTGGATTTAATATTAATGTTTATTTATATTAATATTCTGTTATTAAAATAAATATTTAATAACATTTCTGTTAATTTTACTATTAACAAATAAATTTGGTCCTAAGCCGAAGCCGAGCCGAGCGACGACGACGACGACGGCGCGAGGCTTGCCTTCTTCTCAACTCTTTGAGCTAGAAGAAGAGCAATTGCTTATATACCCATAAAAAACCTCTTCCTCTTCCAATATGGGACAATGTCCATTTGCCAAGGGGGAAAACTTAAAATTTCACTCAAAAAAATTCATTTTCCTCCATTTCCCATTCACCTTCTTTTATGTATTTAATATATTAAATACAAAAAACCCAACATGATATAGGCAGCCTACCCTGATGCAAGCGTTAGTGGCTGATTCCACGGCTCACTCGAACCCGTAGCCTATAGGTCGTATGGAGACAACTTTACGGTTGCTCCAAGGCTCCCTTTAATATGAATCTTATAATATATATTATATTTCTTAGATGTAGTTCCTAGTCATATGTTATCATGTCATAAGTTAGTGTTTGTGATGTTTAGTTTTCCCTCTCTTAATTTACTAATGATTCTCTATAATGTCCAATACTTTAATTTCTCATTGCATGCAATTATACAGATGCAAATCTTTGTTAAGACACTCACAGGAAAGACCATTACACTTGAGGTTGAGAGCTGTGACACCATTGACAATGTTAAAACAAAAATTCAAGACAAAGAAGGAATTCCTCCAGATCAACAAAGGTTAATTTTTGCTGGAAAACAACTTGAAGATGGTCGAACACTGACTGATTATAACATTCAGAAGGAATCCACTCTCCATCTTGTGTTGCGTCTTCGTGGAGGTTATAGAGAAGAAGAAGTTTATCCAATTTTTGTTAGGACTTATAAAGGAGAAAAAATTACTTTAGATGTTACAAGTAATTATACAATTGAGAATGTGAAAAAGATGGTCCAAGAAAAAGGAGATTATAAGGATAAGTTACATATGTTCTTAGATGGTAAACTTTTAGAAAATGAGAAAACTCTTTTTGATTATCATATTAGAAAAAATTGGACACTCCATATTATACGGCGTTAGAAAGATGGACTATTATTTTGGAGGTAGAGAACTCTAATTAATGCTGTAGTTGATGTCAAAGCAAAAATTCAAGATTAGCAGAAGCTAGCTAATTTTTTGCTCTTAATTAAGTAGTATCTAGGATTGTAATGATTGTTGATATTATTGCCTGGTGTTGTATTAATGAGAGAAAAAATGATGGAAAGTAATGATTTGGGTAAAAATGTCATTTTTTTTTTCCTCTTTATATAGTACAAGTCTCATTAGATTTTAAGACAAATAGTTCTTTATTTAAGTTTGAGTATAGTTTCTTCTTATTACTCTTAAAATATAACCCTAAGCATTTTTAATCCTTTTAGATTACCAAATAGGAGCACTTTTTTTTGGTAATTAAAAAGATTTTATTTACCAATATTTACAACTTTTTAAGATAAGTACTCCTGCTGGACATGAAGCCCCAGCTGGGAATTATCTAAAACTGTGCTACTTTCCATCTCCTGACTCTTGCTTCTATTATCTTCTATCCTACATCAGGGTACCAGTTTAGTGATGATATGGTTCGTCCTAGCGTAGAGAATAAAGTGGCACTAATATGTATTTCCTGAATGATAGATCGTAGAATGACATTGGCTGATCTCTTCTTCTTCTTCTGGAATATCACATTATTCCTCTCTTGCCAAATGTGGTGAATTGTAGCTGCTAATGTCATTCTGCATAGTGTTGCCCCTCCACTCTTCCCTTTGCCAACATGTTCTAACCACTTCAATTCCTCCTGCCAAACTTTCGTTGTTCTCTGTATACCTTGCCAATTCAGTAGATGCTGCCAAATAGTTCCTGAGATTTAACAGTCAAAGAATAGGTATTGCAATGTTTCATTCCCTCTTTGACACAGTGAGCATGTCTGATCTGAAAATAATCCACCATCTTGCTAATCTTTCTTTTGTCGCTAACATGTCTTGTATTGCAACTCGTAGTATGAATATCCACTTGGGTAATCCCTGATTGTTGCACACTAGCATGTCATCTGCTGAAACTCTCCTTGCATGGCTTTGTATATTTGTCTCATAGGAATCTCTATTCTCTCTATCTGTTGCACATTCTCTTCTGTAAAACCAGTATCCTCAAAGTAGTTTTTTGCTTTGAATATCTTTTGGATGATCCATGATGCACTATCGGGCTCTGTATTCCAGGCTCTGTTTTCTTTTATGTAGTATGAATGTATCCATTGTACCCACCGTTTCTCCTTCTTTGTGCAACTATTCCATAAGAGCTTGCAAATAGCTGCTTTGTTCCACATCTCCACATTGGTGAAATTAAGGCCCCATACTACTTTTGGGGCACACAGTTTGTCCCAGGCAAACAAAGTCTTTCTGGTAGGTTCAACTGTTCATGTCCATAAGAATCTCCTACAAATTGTTTCTATGAACTGGATGATTTTTCTTGACAAAATGAATATCTGAGCCCAGAATATTGTATAGCAAATAGAACACTCTCAAGTAACATTGCTCTTCCAGCATATGAGCCCAGAATTTGTTGCTGAGTCATGATGCTCACTCCACCAAAGTAAATACAATTTTTTTTGGATTTGCAATTAGACCTGAGGATGCAGAAAACACTTGAAAATGCTGATGGAGTATCTTTACTGATTGCAGTTCTCCTCTACCGAAAAGAATTAGACCATCAGCAAACCCTAGGTTGACTTTGGCACACTTTTAATCTCCATCAACTTATTAAATGGTACTCTTTCCAATCCATTTTAATTGATTTTTAGTTTTTTACACACATATTAAGAAATCTACCTTTTAGAATTAATTAACAATGAAATTGACCATATTAACCTTAATTCATCAGAAATATAACAAATACTCTCAGACTCTTTACTCCAAGGGCAACTTTAAAAAAAAGAAGTAAATTCCTTCTTAATATCCGAGAAATTCTTGTTCTAGCATTGAGAAATTTCAATAGAAGCAATTTCTAAGTATTCTTGTGTTAATGTGACTACTCAAATTCGGCTACTAATTGGAGATTAAGAAGCTTCCGGGTTGTGAAATTGTCTTTATTATCCCTAGGAAGAGGCTGTTTTTTTTTTACAGAGTTGCTTGCTATTAAAAACGCAAAATTCAAAAAAGACACTACTAGAATTCCGGAAAAAAGCGACCAAACTTTAGCGAACAAAGTTGGTCTGTCAAGAAAAGCGACCTACGTTGGTCTCTAAATTGGAGAAAATAATAAAATAATTATTTTAAATACATTAGCAACCAAAGTTGGTGGCTATTTGGTTAATAATTTCGTCAAAATATTGACCGGACTGGTCAGACTTGCTTGGTCAAAGAAATACTAAGATTAGCGACCAACGTTGGTCGCTATAGTGGGACCCACTTATTAAATTTTAATAATTATATTATTATTTAAAAAAATTATAAAATATAAATAAATATAATTATAAAATAGATACCAACTTTGGTCGCTAATATGGGACCCGTTTAATAATTATATTATTATTTTAAATATTATATAAAATATAAATAAATCTGATTTAAATTTAGCGACCAGCTTTGGTCGCTATTTAAAATTTAAGTATAATTAGCGACCAAAGTTGGTCTCTTTTCAGGTCAACAATGGTCAAAATTAAAAATCACTTTTGTATTTACTATCTAAATAATATAAATGCAAGCCGTTAACACTTTTGTAACACAAGAGATGAATAGACTAAAATATACTCTAGCATGCTATGCACTAAGTATAAGTGTATTAGGTAATATTATATCAATATAGCTTATATATATATGTATAATATATATACTTACGCTGTACTATGCACTAAGTATAAGCGTATTAGGTAATATTATATCGAATATGGCATATATATATATATGTAATATATATAGTTACGTTGTACTATGCACTAAGTATAAGCGTATTAGGTAATATTATATCGAATATGGCTTATATATATGTAATATATATAGTTACGCTGTACTATGCAGTAAGTATAAGCGTATTAGGTAATATTATATCAATATAGCTTATATATATGTATAATATATATAGTTACGTTGTACTATGCACTAAGTATAAGCGTATTAGGTAATATTATATCAATATAGCTTATATATATGTATAATATATATAGTTACGCTGTACTATGCACTAAGTATAAGCGTATTAGGTAATATTATATCGAATATGGCTTATATATATGTAATATATATAGTTACGATGTACTATGCACTAAGTATAAGCGTATTAGGTAATATTATATCGAATATGGCTTATATATATGTAATATATATAGTTACGCTGTACTATGCACTAAGTATAAGCGTATTAGATAATATTATATCAATATAGCTTATATATATATGCATAATATATATACTTACGCTGTACTATGCACTAAGTATAAGCGTATTAGGTAATATCATATCAATATAGCTTATATATATATGTATAATATATATAGTTATGTTGTACTATGCACTAAGTATAAGCGTATTAGGTAATATTATATCGAATATGGCTTATATATATGTAATATATATAGTTACGCTGTACTATGTACTAAGTATAAGCGTATTAGGTAATATTATATCGAATATGGCTTATATATATGTAATATATATTGTTACGCTGTACTATGCACTAAGTATAAGCGTATTAGGTAATATTATATCAATATAGCTTATATATATATATATATATATATATATATATATATATATATATATGTATGTATGTATAATATATATAGTTACGCTGTACTATGCACTAAGTATAAGCATACTCCCCTAGCTGCACATGAATGCACAGAGAAGGCCCTCGCTCGGGTTCTTTGACATCGACTCGGTTGCTAGGAAGAATGCGGGCTTAGAGCCAATAGAACTAGTGTTCCTTCGTCACCCTCTAGCGTACCGCCTGGGGGACTCTAGTATCAAAAATTCCCGGTATTTCGTCGTGAAAGTGTCACATTTAGATTGTTCTTATTAAAGGAGACCTTGATTCTTCGCCCTAAGCGCATGCCAGGAAACTCATTCCTCTCATGATTTCCATGACACGAATCTTACTCTAGGGATCGAAATAAAAGGTAAAATACTCCTTACTCGTAATTAAATCCACTAATCATCATATCTTTTTTACCATGTTCGATTTGCAGAATGCGCTCAGCCTGGTGACTAGGAAATAGGTTTGCCCTTGAATTGAAGTGATGAGGTCGGAAAGAGGGAAGTAGGGCTCCTATTGACTAAAGGTTGGTTCTTCGCTTTCCTTTAGAATGAAAGTTGCTATGAAGCCCCTACTACTTACTTTGTTTGATTCAAAAGGCGAACAACCCCCCCCCCCCCCCCAACTAGTTGTATGGGGTGGGGTGCTTGTGAAAAGCTGCTTTGGATATGAGTTTTTTTTTTAGTAAGATAGTAGTGGATCGAGAAAGCAAAGCTTAAAAGGCGAAAGTGCTCTACCTACCCTCTCTTGTTTCAGGTATTCCACTCGTTCTCAAAGTATATAGCTCTAGTAGTCCTTTCTGCCTATTACACTCCTTCGCTCTAGTGATCGCTTCGTATACTACGCTTCTTATCCAGCGTATTGAACTCGTTTATTCCACTCGCTCCCTAACTCTAAGAGCAACTCCTCTTTTTAGAATTGTTGAAGAAACTACTAACTCTAACTATCTAACTGCACTGATCGGGGTCGATCTCACTGACCCCTTGCTTCACCACGCCCAAAGACTTTACAGCAGGAAATGCAATTTTAGTAAAGAGCCCTTACTTTTTCGGGGGGTCAGTGGGACATGGGAGCCTCAGCTCATGCATCGGTTTACCGAAATAACCTCTGCTCTCCCACTTCCTTCTATTCAAAAGGCGATTTAGGTAATATTATATCGAATATGGCTTATATATATGTAATATATATATGTAATATATGTGTATATATATATATATATATATATATATATAATATTAAATTGAATTAAAAGTAATTTACTTTTTTTAGATATAGCGACCAATGTTGGTCGCTATTATGGTCAAACGGTCAGAACTTGGGGGCCCAATGTTGGTCGCTATTTTGGTCAAAATAGTCAATACATTTTGGCTACCAAAAATAGCGACCAAAGTTGGTCGCTTTCTGTAAATACAGTAGCTAAAAAACGGGTTTCCCCTCATATTCTCTTATTTTTTTTCTCTCTCTTCTCTCTCTCACACCCAAACCCCCC